TGGCTAGACCGATTTGGACGGGACTTTTTTTGGTATGTAGCTAATGTAATAAGGAGTATCTTAGACTACATTTATTTTAGAAAAATAAAGTTAATATCCACGCAGACGAAGTCGTGGGAGCAGCTAGTATATTATATAATATACAACGTGTAGTATTAATACCTACACACTTATTTATAAGATATGAAACAATTATATAGTTAACTAGCTGTTGCCCCGACTTCGTCCGCGTGGAATTTAACTTTATTTTTCTAAAATGATAGAATTTTTCTAAAATAATAGTGTCGAAGAATTTATTCAATACATACAATACCATACATAATTATATGTGTCAGTAAGTCCAATGAAATATTTATATCAATTTAATTATTGATTATTATTGTTTAATTAGAATGATATCACATATAAACTGTATACACTGAACATTATGTGTAATCTACATATATATATAACTCAAAGGTGACTTGACATAGTGATCTATCAATGCACAGCCCAAACCACTGGACGGATCGGGCTGAAATTTGTCATGCAGGTAGATGTTATGACGTAGGCATCCGCTAGGAAAGGATTATGACTAACTCTACCCCCAAGGGGATAAAATAGGGGATGAAAGTTTGTATGAAACTTTGTCAATTTTAAACCGATCGGGCTGAGACTTTGCATGCATAAAGCTACTATAACGTAGGCATCCCCTAAGAAAGGATTTTGACAAATTTCACCCCCAAGGGTAGTATATAGTATTATTACCACCCTAGTATTATATATATTGTAAACTTGAAAGTTCGTGAGTATGAATGGATGCATGAAGCTACTATGACGTAGGCATCGCCCAAGAAATTATTTTGATTTGAAATTAACGCGAGCGAAGCCGCGTGCAAAAGCTAGTATTATATATATCTAGGAGCACTGTATGGATCATCATATGGATTGTACTGTACTACGTAATATAATAAATGATTATCATCATTATAATTGATTTGCCGCAAGGTGTTAAGTCGCACTTTTATTTATGTATTTGTGAATTATGTTATGTATGTTCGTATAAAGGAGACGTCAATCAAACAACTGTGCTGAGCTATGACTGCTTTATTTCTAATATCATTCTAATTAAGTACCTCCCATATTATAATAATCAAAGTACCCACAATCCCCTTATCAAAATTAAATTTTCGCAGTAAATTTTACAAATAATTTTTTTTTTATATCATATAACAAAATGTTTATCATATAACAATAATTGGATCCATAAAAAAAAATAAGATACAACTTATTATTTCTAGAATCATCTATATCATATATCAATAATTTATCTATTCATGTTTTGAAATATAAATACATGCAAATAGATATTCAATTAATTATAAAAACTTAATATAAATTGATAAATTTAAATTAGAATAATAATACTATTGAATTGAATACAATAAAGAACATAAAAAAAATCTAAACAAATATTATTATTACAACGTAAGTAACTTGATTTAATACAATTCAATAGCATACATAGGTATTTATTATTTCATCATGCAGTTCATAATTAAGATTTTACATATTTATTTTCTATGAAAAATGAATTAAACAATATAAAATTTAGACTATTATTTAAATATCAATAAATTACATTTAACAGTAGGAAACAGGTGTACGTGTTACTCTTAATTGTTGTCATGTCCTATCAATATCATGACCTTGAAGCGTTTTCCGCGGAGAATCCCCACCGATCAGGAGGCCGAACTATCCTGCCGAAACGAGTACGATAACAATTATTATAATCTAATGGTGGATGGTCAGGTGACGGTACGTTGGAAGTGGCCGTAGGCATTATATCATCGTAAGAGGGATAACTTATGGTAACATCCCTACTATTCGAATCTATTATAATGTGTTTTCTATTGCGCCTAATTATACTCCCTGAAAGTAACGTTATGCAATAAGATCTTGGATCTACTATGCCTGAAATTGTACCTGGTATCCAGCAATTGTTCAGACGAGTTTTCACTTTCTGTCCAATACAAAGTGGCTTTAATAATCTCGCAGTTCTGTCGTACACGAGTTTTTGCGAATTTTGCCGAGTTTTAAGTTTCTTAATGACATCGTGGTTTATCTTTGGCCTATACATATTTGGATTACAAGGAATAATACTGCGTAGCTTTCTATTATAAAATAACTCTGCGGGTGACGGTATATCCTTACTAATCGGTGTATTTAGAAACTCTAGTACTGCCAAATTAAAGTCAGTACGATTATGCAACGTTTTTTTCATGATGTTTTTAACCGTTTGGATCGCGCGCTCGACTTGTCCGTTTGACTGTGCATACCTAGGCGAAGACGTCACGTGGTCAAAATTCCATTGACGAGCGAAATCTCTAAATGACATCGACGAGAACTCTGGTCCGTTATCAGACATTATGATCTCTGGAATACCAACTCTGCTAAAAATTAATTTTAATTTATTGATTACATGATTTGAAGTTTGATTTTGTAATTCAATTATTTCAAAATATTTGCTATAATAATCTATTATTATTAAAAATGTTTTATTACTAAAGTGAAATAAATCTACTCCAACTTTATACCAAGCTCTCTCAGGTATCTCATGAGGAATTAACGGCTCTTTAGTATTTTGATTTTTATATGTTAAACACGACTGACAATTTGATAAAAAATCTTGTAACTGTGATGTCATATTCGGCCAGTACATGGTTTCTCGTGCTCTAAGTTTACACTTCTCGATTCCTAAATGTCCTATGTGTATCTTTTCAAGCATCTCCCGGCGCATACAGTTAGGTATAACCACCCGAGATCCCTTCCAAATTATGCCAAAATTTACAGACAATTCATCCCTGCTATCCCAATAACATTTTAATCTGTCTTCTAGCTTACTTTTATCTGACGGCCATCCCTTTCGTATTATACTAATTAACGCCTGTGAGACATCGTCATTTTTAGTATATTTCTGAATTTTTAAAAAATGAGAGTCACACAACGGATTACTTGCAGTTACCATACACACTTGCGCTTGGGTTTCATAGTAATCGCGCGCGGCGGTGGGGGGGTCAGAGTTTGTAGCGACGGCACGGGACAGCGCATCTGCAATGTACAGGTACTTGCCTGGTTTGTACACGAGTGTAAACGAGTACGGTTGCAATCGTAATAACATTCGTTGCAGACGGGCGGGGGCATTTGCTAATGGTTTCTTTATAATGCTCACTAGTGGCTTGTGGTCGGTTTCAATCGTTATATCTGAGCGGCCGTATATATACGTATAGAACTTCTCACAAGCGAAAACACATGCATAAAGTTCTTTCTCGATTTGAGCGTACGATTGCTCGGTTTTCGTTAGGGATTTCGAGGCGTAACACACCGGGTTATTATTTTGCATTAAACAGGCACCTAAACCGTTTTTACTCGCGTCTACAGTTATCACTACTGGTATGTTTATGTCATAAAATTTTAAAACAGGTGGGTTAACTAAAAAATGCTTTAAGTTTTCATAACATTTTTGGTGACGATCGTCCCAATGCCACTCAATTTCTTTTTTTAATAGTTCACGTAAAATATAAGTTTTTTCAGACAAATTTGGAATAAAGGTACCAACGTAAGTAACTAAACCAAGAAATCGTTCAACATCTTTTACATTTGTAGGTGTAGGCATATTTTTTATTGCAGAAATTCGCGTGTCATCAGGTTTTATTCCATTTTTACTAATTTTATGGCCAAGATACGTTATTTCCGACATCCCTATTTTGCATTTGTCTCTGTTGAGTTTTATATTTATTTCAGCACATCGTTTTAATACAGCTCGTAATCTTTTATCATGAATTTCTAAAGTGGGACCATGAACTAATAAATCATCAATGAATAATACAACCCCTTCCAAGTCATCAAAATGCTCATACAGTCGTTTATGAAATATTTCGGATGCTGATGAGATACCAAACGGCATTCTCAAAAACTTATAACGACCTAGCGCCGAATTAAAAGTGCACAAGTCCGAACTATCTTTTTGTAGCTTTAATTGCCAAAAACTATGTTTTGCATCAAGAGTACTAAAATAATTTGACCCTGAAAGGTTCGCAGTTACCTCTTCGTAAGTAAAGTAGGGAGTTTAAAGTGTTCTCTTTTTATCGCTTTGTTTAGGTCCCGTGGGTCTAAACATATACGCAAATCACCATTTGTTTTTCTAACTACAGTCATACTATTTACCCAATCTGTGGGTCCCTCTACTTTGGCAATAATTCCATTTTTCTCCATATCTAAAAGTTTATTTTTTATTTTGTCCTTTAGCGCTAATGGCAACTTCCTAGGTGCATGAATGACTGGAGACACGTCGTCTCTTAATTTTATTTGATACTCGCCCGGTAGACACCCTATACCTTCAAATACGGCGGGAAACTCATTTAAAATATTTTGACTGCTGATGGACGGATGTTGATTAATTGACAATTTTCGTTTTAATAAATAAAGCTCCTCACAAGATTTTCTACCTAACACAGGGGGCGACTCAACATCAACAATAATAAATTGTAAATAATAAAAAATATCTTTATGTAAAACCTTTAAAAAACATTTACCTAAAACTTTAATTTCATTTCCTGAATAGCCATGCAATTTCATTGATGTATTTGTTAATTGAATTTCGTATATTTTTAGCATATAAAGTAATTTTTTAGGTAATACATTTACGTCCGCGCCGGTATCCAGTTTAAAATTAATAATTTGGCCACTAATTTCTAAGTCTACCGACCAGTCATCACTTTTATTATTTATAGAAAAAATTACCTGATCTGATGAGTCATCCCTCACGGCGTAAATATAATTTGTACACATTCTTGCATAGTGATGTAATTTTCCACATTTATTGCAATATTTTCCATATGCAGAACACTCATTACGTCTGTGCATTAATCCACAACTTTTACACTTAATGAACTCAAGATGTGACCTTTGAACTGGCGACACTACTTTTGTAGGACGTGATCTGTTATTGTTTTGTGAGTTCACTGAAGTATTAGTACGATAACGTGTATTTGAAAACGCGACACCAGCAGCGTAACGCCGATCCAAGGCGGGAAAGGGGGTTGCTCGCTCGACGAACGCCAGCTTCCATCGCTGCTTCGAACCCGTTGTTTATTACTACGTTTCACCATGTCTGCCCTCACTGATTGATTATTCTCCATATTTTGTGCAATTGTATGTATCTGATGGCTGCTGCATTTATTTTGAATGTTCGCTGCTTGCATACGAGACATTTCAGCTAGTCTACAAATTTCCAATGCTTTCGATAGATTTATTTCCGGTTCCCTCAATAATCGTTCCGAAAGGGCCACGTCACTAAGCCCACATATCAATCTGCTGCATATTAAATCGTCCCTTAAATCTCTTAACTCACACGTAGATGCAATCTTGTTTAGCTCAAATACATACTGTTCGACGGACTCAAATTCTTTTTGATCCCGTTTGAAAAATTTTTGTCGTTCCACCGCCAAGTTCTTTTTCGGTATAAAAAATGCATCAAATAACCTTAATAATTCCGTTACATTCTTGTATTCTGTAGTAAATTGTTCACTAACTTCTCTGCATTTATCTCCAATGACATGCAATAGAATATTAATTTGTACTTTGTCACTCTTCTTTGATATTTCACACGCCTCATAGTAGATATTAAAAGATTTCTTCCAACGCTCCCATTCTCGACTCAAATTTCCGGAAGTGACATTAGTCAGACTATTTTCAAAATCAAATGGCTGTGGAGGTGTAAAGGCAAGCTCCATTTTAATTCACGAACACACGCACTAAGTCTGTTCACTATTCAAAGTTTAAGAGCTATATGTATAATATTTACTTTTTGACCGACTGCGCCATGTTATGTATGTTCGTATAAAGGAGACGTCAATCAAACAACTGTGCTGAGCTATGACTGCTTTATTTCTAATATCATTCTAATTAAGTACCTCCCATATTATAATAATCAAAGTACCCACAAATTAGTTTTAATAATAATAGGTTTCTCTCCCTGGGGCCCTGAACCCCGGCCAAATGTGCTTCTACCGGGGGTATATTGCCATCTCCTCTCCTTAAGAGGAGAGATGAGAATATTTGGAAAAAAAAAAAAATATCAGGACAATTCACACAGCTCCATCTAGACCCAAGTTAAGCTAGCTAGAGCTTGTGTTATGGGTACTAGATAACTGATACATATACATAGATATTTTTTTTTTGTAAATACATACATATTATACATAGAAAACACCCAGACCGATACAAACGATCATACTCATGAATACAAATGTTTGTGCCGTGCGAGGAATCGAACCCGCGGCCATCGGTCGTAAAGCGGTGTGCTTGACCGCTAGACCACCGAGGTCGTCAGTTTTAATAAATAAATAAAGAAATAATTAGTCTGATAAAAAACCATATTAATATCACGGCCTCAGTTTGTAAACAGTTACTTTGAGTTTACAAATACCTGTCTTATCCTTATTTCCGATGGTCGCGAGTTCGATTCCTTGCACGGCACTAACATTTATATTCATGAGTATGATTGTTTGTATCGATCTTTGTGTTTAAAAAAAAATTAAAATATTTGGTTCAATGTTAGACCTAGACACCTGTAGGTAAACTTTCTTAACAAATTAACTAACCAGCGAAATGTGAACATGTGTAGGTTACTAGAACATCTTTATTGTACATTGCTTCTGACTATACCATCTGTAATAGCAGTCGTAGTTATATCATTACTGTTATATCCCCATGTTTCAATCTACAATCTGAATTCTGCATATTATTCAAATTCAAATACAAATTCAAAAATCATTTATTCAGGTAGGACATTTTAGCCGCTTATGAACTTAAATTTTTTCCATATCGTCCAATTCAGTATATAGATCCAATCCAATTGAGAAGAACTGGCAAGAAACTCAATTGAATTACTCTATTTAAATGCCAGTTCATTTACAATGTATATTTATATAGGTGTCTATGTCTAACATTAAATGAAAATCCCGTGCATGAACAACTATTGCCATGCACGCTCGTCATTCAAGTAATCGTTTAGTGAGTAATAGGCCTTGCTCAGTAAATATGATTTAACAGATGTTTCAAATTTATTTAAGGATAATTCCAATAGATCCTTTGGTACGAGTATCTTATTTTAAATTGTATTTTTATAAAAGATAGCTGCAATTGTTTCGAATGTACACAAATTTAAATTTATTTTAATAAATAATAATAATAATTTTTACAAACCGATTAGACCGATATTTTTTTTTTATTCCCTTTTATTTGTTTCACCGTTTTTTTTTTAATGTATATATTTTGATTTATTTTAAATCTTAGGCTCCCGCTGCGATTTAACCGATATTTATAGTACACATATTCACGTAAAAATATAAATTACCGGTGAAAGCCGAGAAAAAAATTAATAATAATAATAATCTCAGGACAATTCACACAGCGCCATCTAGACCCAAGTTAAGCTAGCTAAAGCTTGTGTTATGGGTACTAGACAACTGATACATATACATAGATAATTTTTTTTGGTAAATACATACATATTATACATAGAAAACACCCAGACCGATACAAACAAACATATTCATGAATGCAAATGTTTGTGCCGTGCGAGGAATTGAACCATCGGTCGTAAAGCGGTGTACTAGACCGCTAGACCACCGAGGTCGTAGATAATATATGTATAAATTTGTATTCTAATATATATATATATAAATATGTACTCACCAATATAACACAATAACTTTAATTCCACGAAATAAAGATCGTAACGAATTATTCCAACCTTAACTTCGTTGAATCGCACGTTTGCACGCGCCTATATATATAATGGGAATGATAAGAATACGCTGATAGGCTGATAGCAGAGTGGCGAATCTATACTTAATGATGAATATTATCAGAAACTAGACAGTGATACTAAAGGTATCTAAGATTAGGCTAGAGACGAAAGTGCACTCGTTGTTAGACGACATCGGTGGTGTAGCGGTCTAGCACACCGCTTTACGACCGATGGTCGCGGGTTCGATTCCTCGCACGGCAAAAACATTTGTATTCATGAGTATGATTTGTGTCGGTCTGCTTGTTTTCTATGTATAATATGTATGTATTTACAAAAAAAAAAATATCTTTGTATATGTATCAGTTGTCTAGTACCTATAACACAAGCTTTAGTTAGCTTAACTTGGGTCTAGATGGCGCTGTGTGAATTGTCCTGAGATTTTTATATATATTTTATATATCTCCGTTTTGATAGGGGTAATACATTGTTACTAAAGTTATTTAAGATTACACTAAAGACGAAAATGCACTCATTATTAGACGACATCGGTGATCTAGTGGTTTAGCACGCCTTACTTCCGATGGTCAAGAATTTGATTCCTCGCACGATGCAATCAGCGCAGACTATCAGCGCTGCAGTTATCTGTAGCATTATGCTGAGTTGGCTACCTTTTCACTTTTGCGGCACATAAACTCACCTACATTTCTTTTATTAATTCGTGTTTTTTCTGTATCTCATGTATGTTATGTGTCTGTAACTGTGAATAAAAAACTTATCTATCTATTTGTTTATGAAACATGTGTATTCATCAGTATGATTGTTTGTGTAGATCTTGGTGTTTTCTATATATAACTAGTTACTCGCTCCGGTCTGACAGGATGTACATGTATTATATATATAAACCTTCCTCTTGAATCACTCGTTTCTATTAAAAAAGCCGCTTCAAAATCCGTTGCGTAGTTTTAAAGATTTAAGCATACAATTATATAAGGACGGACAGTCAGCGACTGTGACTTTGTTCTGTGCTATGTAATGATTTTTGTCATGTAAAACTAGAATTTATATTTGTTTTCCTGGCTGTTTTATCTGTTATGTTAGGATATATTACACTATGTGGAGTGCATGTTGTTAATAATTGATATAAAACGCTTCCTTTGCAAAAAAAGCTTACTATAAAATTGAAGAATTCGTTAACGACAATAATGTTTTTATAGAAAAACTTAAAATCCATAGCACTGGAGTGCCATCTGTATCGTCCGTTGAAGCTGTAGTGGCCAGCTAGAGTAATCGGAAAAAAATGCACTTTGTTTCTACGACCTTAATGTCCATAAATATTGGTTGCATAAATAGAACCGTATCATCTACTTGTATAGAATAGAATAGAATAGAATAGAAAATAATTTATTCAAATAAACTTAATTTAAGCACTTTTAAATAGTCAACATTTTTTTAAATTTACCGCTTATTTGGAAAGCTGTCTCATCACAAGAAGAATAAGCAAGAAACTTGTGTGTTGCTCTTTTAAACAATCCCTGTAAGTTCTCATTTTACAAGTCGAAACGTGTGAATACAAACTACCAACCAGCACTAATTAATTTAGGCTCAAATATAAAAACACAATAAGATTAAATCAGTCGTAGTGATAAGAGCAGACCAGTCCCTACAAGCAGCACTCGTTCATGTAAAGTGCGAATCACTTTACATGAGGATGCATGTACAGTAAGTTACTTGCGTATTTTTCTTGACCGTCATCCTAATTACAGTATCAATTTGCTTTATTTAACAATAATATTATTATAATTTATTGGTGTTGATAAGAATAGGTGTTATAGTGTCATCGAAGTAGTCTTATCTGGACTAATAACAAGAAGATTTACATTGTCTTGTGAACTTGTATTCACATAGATAAATATTTTATTTACATCTTCGACATATACTGGTCTTACTAATATTAAATAAATTAAAAACATCTGTGAAATCATATTTACTGAGCAAGGCCTATTACTCACTAAACGATTATGAATGACGAGCGTGCATGGCAATAGTTTTCATGTACGGGATTTTCATTTAATATTAGACATAGACACCTATATAAATACCTATGCATTGTAAATAAATTAGCTTTTAAAAAAAAGTAATTCAATTGAGTTTCCTGCCAGTTCTTCTCAATTGGATCTATGTACCGAACTGGACGGTAGGGAAAAAAAATTATAATGCAAAAACTTGATGTTCATAAGCGGCTAAAATGTCCTACATGAATAAATGATTGTTGAATTTGAATTTGAATATAAATGTAAAAGTAACCCTGTTTGTCTGTTTCATTGTCACGCCAAAACCGATTTAGGTGGCGTTGTAATAAAAATAATCAAACAATCTCAGCACAATTCATACAGCGCCATCTAGACCCAAGTTAAGCTAGCTGAAGCTTGTGTTATGGGTACTAGATAACTGATACAAATACATAGATAATATTATTTTTTTGTAAATACATAGAATTATACATAGAAAACACCCAGAACGACACAAACAATCAAACTCATGAATACAAATGTTTGCCGTGCGAGGAATCGAACCCGCGACCATCGGACGTAAAGCGGTGTGCTATACCGCTATACCACCGAGGTCGTCATAAGGCAATTGTCAAATGTAGATATTGCTGTCAACACACTAATATCATAGTTTGCTGTGTATATTTTGTATAGCACGGCAAAGAACAGTCCTATCTGTATATATAAACATCACACAAAACGCATGTATGGAATCCAAGTGTAAAGGACAGCGTGTAATGACAAAGAAAAACGAATAATAATAATGAAAGGGATAGCGTTTAGTTATGTAATCTATGAGCTATACGTTGATATGATTGTAACAAAATAGATATAAGTAATGTAAAATGTTATAGTTGTAGTTTTCCACTCGTGTTAAATGTGGAAATCGATGCAAGTCAGAGATGATTTGTCTTAGATTTATGTGAAATAC